CTCTTCTGCCTATGGACCCACTTGTAAGGATACTTTACTCTTTCAAAGTGGTGTAGAGCTACATTGGTGTGAATGAGCATTATTCCTGTTAAGGGCAAACACAGCATCAATCCAATCCCAAACTAATCACATCACCTTGCAAACTATACGTATCTAATAGAATCAGTATCTACTGTCATACGTATGTTGTGTGAGAACTCATTTACAACATAATCCACTTGTATTCTGTGCACCTATAGGAAAAACTCACGAGCTATTGTATGCACCTAAACACCATTGGCTTTCATTGCAAATGAGTGATTTGCAAAAGCCTCTTACGGTGGAGTTCTGTGGGTTTAGAATGCTCCCTCTTTTATACAATGTAATGCTGGAGTGTTTAGGCTTAACACTTGTTACACTGAAAGCTAATATAACAATTCCAGGCTGTACCATACAACTTCCTAGGCTGAGTGCTTCTGAGAAGCACTGGTTAGAAGAATTTCTGTGGATATAGCCTGTTTTGCCCCATTTTCCTGATGCAGGTACTTGGCTAATGACATGGAGGAAGATGAAGAGGATTACAAGTATGAGATCTTTCCCTGGGCCCTTGGTGACAACTGGCGGCAGCTGTTCCCACAGTTCTTAAAACTGAGGGATGGCTTCTGGGCTAAAATGAACTACCGAGCAGTGGTCAGCCGGCGTTGTTGTGATGAGGTTAGCCATGGCAGACATATTTTTTACATGCTTGTAATACTGGGACTATGGCTAACACGTTAATAGTCACTAGAATCAATAGTTTATGCAAATCAGGCCTTAACCCTTTATAGGAACTGGAACTGACAATGGGAGGATAAGTATCCCTGCTAGCACACTAGGAAGGTCAGGAATAGCGTAGTGGGTGCATCTGTCTAGCTATTTCTCAGACATTAAATAAAACCTCAGTCTCTAGGATTTTCAAACCACTCTTAGTACAGAATCCTACTTAAGTTTAAAGATTCTTGGATCAGCGATGGCTAGGATTCTACTGAACAGTCACAACCTTTATGTTCTACAAATGTTTTCCCCACCAACATTAATTAGCAGTTGCTATTCTAGCTTTAGTTATGATCAAAGCATTCTTATATCAATAAATCTGTCTGATAAATAAATCCATCTGGGGAATGTTCAGATGCTACACTGTAGTTCTTACTGTCTTTGAAGCCTTATACCGGGGTGGCCAAACTTAGTGACCCTTTGAGTCTCATACAACAATCTTCTGAAGTTCAAGAGCTGGGATGCACCTGCTGGGGCTCAGGGTCCAAAGCTCCTCCACCCCCAGTCTGGTAGTTAGAGAATAGGGGAGTGGAGGAGCTTGACGAGCCACACTTTAACTGTACATGTGGCTCACAAGCCATGGTTTGGCCACCCCTGCACTATATACTAAAACAACTAGATATGACAAGATATATATATATATATATAGCCTTAGTTTTAAATCTTACTGAATACAATTTTAAATGAATCCAGGAAGATTCAGTGGCGAGGAAAAAAAATTGGCTGGTCTATACTCTTCTGATCTAGATAATGTCAAAGGAGCCATCCCACTGGGCTTGGTCACGTGAACGACCCCTTCATCACAGTGGAGCACTGAGAAGCTACCTGAAGAATGAAAAGGACTCACTTCCCCGAGGACCTGGTGTTACACCTCCAAGCTGCCCCCTCTGCACTTGTGAGCTGACTGAAGAGGAAGGCAGCCCAGAAGATGCTCCAAGTGCCAGTATTACTTCTGATGGTGACCTATTGCCATTCACTAACAAGTGGTCCCAGAACTTTATTATCTTCCCTCATAAAATAATGCTGGATCCACTGGCAACATATAGCCTGCAGAGTAAGTAGGGACAAGTCCCTCTCCCGGGCTCCAGCTCTGTTATCTGATTTGGAAAGAATGCGCACACTTTTTTAGAGGAATAGGGTTCCTAAGTGCCCAGTTTCCATATTCATAACTAGTGGTGAGATGAATTGATGGGAATCACTTTCTATTCTAGGGATAAGCAAGTTAAACTTGTTTGGATGCAGTTACTGTACTTGAGTTAATTTAAACCCCATGTTGAAGAACTAGCCCTCTAGGTTAAGTGTAATGGTTTCTTTCAGGAAACTGGAAACAATCCCTCTCGCATGGCAAAGAAAGGGGCCAGTTTTACTCCTCAGACTTGCCTGCTATTGGGAGCCCTTTAGATTTTAACCTTTTCAGGGCCACCCACATACATCTGTAAACCATAAATGGAAAATTAAGCATGGATTGTGCTGCCTCCAGAGTCAATGCTGCATTTCTCTGGGCAGAATTCAGCAAAGAGGTGGGGTGTGACTTTTGGATGACACTCCAGAAGTACTGACTCTGGGTATCCCTCTAGTAGTTCTGCTTCTGGGAGTCTGTCCTTGGCACCAAGATGCTGTCTGCTGTTTTATTGGAATCCAAGAGCCAGTGTGGTCTCCAACCACTGACTTAATGTTTAGTGGCTATAATTGTGTATTTCCCAGTAAGGTGTATAGGTACTTGATTTGCAAGTGTGGTTATATGTTAAGCCTCTTGGGTTTCTTGGTCTGCAGTCCTGCAGGAGCCAGGAGTCACTATAGAGCCTGATGGAACCGGCATGGATTGGCGATCTGTGGGGTGACTGACTATTCCAGGACCAAGATGTCTCCTCCCAAGGAACTGCAAGTGGCACTGGACTTGTTCTCATTCTGCTGTTCACAGAACTATGTTTTCCCCACGCACTTTATGAATATATTCTGGTTGTGAACAGGAAGACAGGGCAGTACTTATGTATTTAAAAAAATTGCTTGCTGATGCAGCTATTCAAATGTGCCTTATTTAATGTGCAAATGCCAATGTAATAGGTGGACAGGCTCTTAATAAAAATGTCCAGGAAAAAAAGTTTATTTTCTGTTCATAGAGAATCCTGGTGAATGTAACAATTATCAGGGCAACAAAACTTGATATTGAGTGAGTATAGCAGTGACCTATGGTGTCATGGTTGTACTTGTTTAAGGCTTGGGATGAACACAGATGTGGAGGAGGGATTCCTGGAGAAGAAAATCAGAGTTTTTACATTGCTGGTAGGTCTGTTTGAGCAGAGCATCTGAATCTTTCAGGTCTCAAAGGGAACTCAATGGCAGTAATATCCACTTGCACCAAAAAGGCTTTATTGGGGGGGAGGGAAGAATGTAATCAATACTGGGCTTCTGTTTTAAGAGCAACTAGTACTGGCTGCTAACACACAACACACTTTTCTAACCTAGAATAATTGCACAATGTTAGGAGTGTTAGTCACATTATCTTGATCTACTGGGAATGACCACAAGGGTTAACAAATACAACACATGCCATTTCTGTCAGGGCCGTGGTGACTTCACTGACCAAGCTGAATGCTCTCTGCCACAGTTCATCTGGATCAGTATCTGATGCAAGTAAAATAATTGATGTGGAATCAAAGCTTGGTAGTCTCTTTAATTTGGCATCCCTCTCCGCAGCTGTCTATAGGCAGTGAGAGAGCCTGGGCTACAGGGCACAGCACTTTCTCAGGCTGTGGTGCCTGGCATTACTTATGGAGGTAGGGACAGTGTCTGGGTGGGGCATGAAACTCCATCTTATTTCCAATTAATTGGCAAATGCAAATCTTAACCACTAAACAGGGTGACGGGAGTCTTGCCACTGTATTCCTAGGGCTGCCTTTGACTTGTTATATGGGAGGGATACGTCCCTTCTCAGTACCTTACTGGTAGAAATCTAAGGGTATGTCTACACAGGGAATTAAGAACAGCTATTTGTGAATAACTTCTGGAACAAGAGTGTGTCTTCACCGAGACATGCCTTAATCAAGTGGCATGTGTAGAGGAGACCTACTAAAAATGTTGGTGCCTGTCACAGCTCTTGAGTCTTTTGACACAGTCCCATGTGACATTCTGATAAGCAAACTAGATGAAAGCACTATAAGGTGGGCGCACAACTGATTGAAAGACCATACTTGGAGTAGTTATCAAAGGTTTGCTGTCAAAGTGGGGAGGTCAGACCTATGGGGGCCTAACAGGGGTCAGTTCTGTATTCAAATGCCACATTTATTGTGAATACAGAAAGAATCATAGTAAGCAGTTAGTTATAGCTATAACATTCCATTCAGTTTCATATTTATTCATACATTCATTCATACACACACAGGTTCTGCAAGGTTGTTATCATTGTTACCAGCCTTGGAGTTACTCATGCCGAGCCCCTGGCCAGGTGGCTTGGACACAAGGAGGGAGAAGGGCCTTGTCAGATGCCCATCTGACGCTCCTGGAAGATGGTTTGCAGAATCAGACCCCAAAGTGCTCAGTTTCTAGAGTCCATTTTTATAGGAATTTATTCCTATGCCAGTCATTGGGAATTGCTTCATCATGCTGTTGCTGAATCTATCAGCAGATGGCACATTCCTGACAGCTCTGTGGTGTTCTTTGGTTCTCCCATCCTTGAGGCTGTTGGGTGGATTCCAGTCTGCGCTCCGGGGGTCCTCTGATTGTTGCCACTTGATGCCTTCTTTGGCCGCTGGACACTGGATTCTTAGGCTGGCACCTCCCTGATCATTCAATTATTATCCCCACCAAGCATCCATCCACATACATCCTCTATCCCTATTTTAATCACAATTGTTACCAAAGCGAGATAAATACAACAAAAGAGCAGGGGAGTCTGTGTGCTGTTTCTGTTACAAAGTATTGCTTTGAGAACAGACTCTGTCTTAAGATGTACTAACGCAATTAGCAGCTTGCAAGTTTCACACAGAGAGGGAGAGAAACCATACCAAAAACCAAGAGACCTCTTAATTAGTAATACCCTGGAATTTACACTATGGGGAATCAAACTCATTTGTGATTTTAATACAGAACTTCTTTAATATTATCCAACAGTAGTACTGCTGAAAAGGAGTTGGGAGGTTATAGTGGATCACAACCTGAGTCGTCAAGCTGGTGCAGTTACAGAAAAAGGCTAATATTTTTCTGGGGTGTATTAACAGGGAGTGTTGTATGTCAGATAGGAGGTAACTGTCCCTCACTGCTGAGCCAGAGAACTGTGCCGAATTCTGGGTGCCACACTTTAGGAAAAATGCGGACAAATGGGAAGGAATGCAGAGGGGAGCAATGAAAGGTTAAAAAAAAAAAACTGGTTGTGTTTCTTAAGAAAAGAAGACTGAGGGACTTTGATAAGTCTTCAGATATGTTAAGGGCTGTTATAAAGAGGACTGTGATAATTTGTTCTCCCTATCTACTGAAGGTAGGACAAGAAGTAGTGGGCTTAGCCTACATCTTTGATACTGGGGATTGTCTACACTGCACTTTTGCCAGTAAAACTTTTGTTGGTAGAGGGTCTGAAAAAAAACACACACCCCTGACCAACAAAAGTTTTACTGACAAAAAGCGCCAGTGTGGACAGTGCTTTGTTGGCGGGAGACACTCTCCCACCCACAAAGATACCATCTCTCGAGGGGGATGGCTTTATTTTGTCAGCAGGAGAAACAAAGAACAGCTACACTGCATACCTTACAGCGACGCTGCTGTATGGTGTGCAGTGTAGCCATAGCATTAGGTTAGACAATAGGAGAAACTTTCCAACTGTAAGGGTAGTTAAGTTCTGAAAGAGACTTCCAAGGGTGATTGTGGAATCCCCATCGTTGGAGAGTTTTAAGAACAGGTTAGCCAAACACCTGAAAGGGATGGCCTAGTGAAGGAATGGAAGTTCGACACCATGTACAGTCAAGCACGAGGATTTATTACACACAGTGCTGTCGGAGTGTCACTTTGCTTATTAGGCTCAGTAAGACACTGCTAAACAATTGATTACAATAGATTATATAGGGTGCCAATGGGTGGAGAGAAGCGACAGAGTGCGAGTTTCCAAGCCCCTAGATAGGTTCTAGCAGTAGTCTAAAAGATTACATAATGGCTCCGTCCATAGCTCAGGTGAACATGTTTGCTAATACACAGTTGTTATCCCTCAAATTCTCTTCTTGCAATGTGTAAGTTAAATCCTGATTTCAGGTCCATAGAAATGACGGTGGCTCTTTCCAGACAGGTTGGCCCACAGGTACATTGCTGGAGGGTTTAAAGCAAAAAGAAAAGTAAACAGTACACAGCAATGACAATTGTGGATGGTTTACCCCTGCATTTCTGCGAACTGGGGTTGGCATCTGTGAGGGAGGATGCCGCAACTCATGCTATCATATTAGGCCTCTCTGAACCCTGGTTGGCATTAGGGGAGTATGTACCGTTACCTTTTTCTGAACCAGGGAGTAGACTTCAAGTCTCCTCTCAGTGAATTATGTGCCTATGATTCCTGATAAGCCTCCCAATTACTGCTCTCTACCTGGAGTTATGCTGTCTCTGTTTCAACTATACATAAAATAAGCAAAACAAGGCTGTCTCCTGCTCATCCCATCTTTCTTTAGCCATGTATTGTCCATTGTTAACAAGGCCTCAGACCAAGCCGAGGAATTAGGGCCTATGTGAAAGGTCATTAACAGAGACTATGGTCAAGATCTTACCTACATATTATTGGGATTTTGGCCCTTCACCTAGGTTTACTTTGTCCTGCCTCAGTACAGGAGATGGGACTTGATGAACTCTCAAGGTCCTTTCCAATTCCAGTCCTATGGTTCTATGATGTTCAAAGTGCTGAAATCCCTGCATAAACCCCCCAAACACTTGATTCCTTTCAGTCACACTCCAGCAGTGAATGCAGCAGTTTGAGCTGGAAAAAGATCCCACCTCTTCTTAATACCCTGCACCATGTTTTATGATTCACTAACAACAAGCTGAGTTGTATCATTTTCTTCCTTGAGGGAAGAGCCTTTGTTTTGACCAGAACATACCCCACATAAACTACCAAAGAGAAGAGGGAACAAATGTATAGTATTAATTCATGTGCTAATAATTTTGTGCTTTCTGTATATCATTCTCTATAGCAATGGATCTGCTCCTGTCTTGTCTAGTTCCTCTCCTCTTGAACTGAAGGGTAGCTGCTGAAAAATGGCTCATCCAGGAGTCACACACCTACAACTGAGAGAGGCTGCTTAGATTGGGCTGAAAGATGGTAGTAGTTTAATGACAGACAGCAGTGCTACAAAAACATGAAATGATATCTCTGAAACTGCAGCAGGCAAACTAATGGTGCCAAGCTACCTCTCTGTGCACTTCATCTTCCCCACCTCTGAAAGCTCGTTTGGAGTTGCACTTAAAGAATTTCCAGCACCAACCTGCTACAGTAAATGGTGTTGCTCACTCAAATTGGTTAGTCGCTAAGGTGCCACAAGTACTCCTTTTCTTTTTACTCAACAACAGGACGCTCTTCCTGCGTATGGTGTGAGAGGGTGCCCTCTGCTGGGTGAAACCCAAAACTGAGGCCCTATTCACTTCTAACTAGGGCTGTCAAGTGATTAAAAAAATTAATTGCGATTAATTGCTCTGTTAAACAATAATATAATACCAACTTTTTAAATGTTTTCTACATTTTCAAATATATTGATGTCAATTACAACACAGAATACAAAGTGTACAGTCCTCACTTTATATTATTTTTATCTCAAATATTTGCACTGTACAAAATAAGACATTGTATTTTTTCAGTTCACCTAATACAAGTACTGTAGTGCAATCTCTTTATCATGAAAGTTGAATTTACAAATGTAGAATTATGTACAAAAAATAACTGCATTCAAAAATAAAACAATGTAAAACTTTAGAGCCTACAAGTCCACCCAGTCCTACTTCAGCCAAATCGCTCAGGCAAAACAAGTTTGGTTACAATCTGCTGCCTGCTTCTTGTTTACAATGTCACCTGAAAGTGAGAACAGGCATTTGCATGGCACTGTTGTAGCTGGCGTCACAAGATAGTTACATGCCATATGTGCTAAAGATTCATCTGTCCCTTCAAGCTTCAATCATCATTCCAGAGGACATGCATCCATGCCGATGATGGGTTCCGCTTGATAACGATCCAAAGTAGAGCAGACCGATGCATGTTCATTTTCATCATCCGAGTCAGATGCCACCAGCAGAAGGTTGATTTTCTTTTTTGGTGGTTTGGGTTCTGTAGTTCCCTTATTGGAGTGTTGCTCTTTTAAGACTTCTGAAAGCATGCTCCACACCTCGTCCCTCTCAGATTTTGGATGGCACTGCAGATTCTTAAACCTTATGTTGAGTGCTGTAGCTATCTTTAGAAATGTCACATTGGTACCTTCTTTGTGTTTTGTGAAATCTGCTGTGAAAATGTTCTTAGAACGAACAACATGTGCTGTGGGTCATCATCCAAGACTGCTATAACATGAAATAAATGGCGGAATGAGGGTAACGGAGCAGGGGACATACAATTCTCCCCCAAGGAGCTCAGTCACAAATTTAATTAATTCATTTTTTTTTAACAAGCCTCATCTGCATGGAAGCATCTCCTCTGGAATGGTGGCTGAAGCATAAAGGGGCATACGAATGTTTAGCATATCTGGCATGTAAATACCTTGCAACGCTGGCTACAAAAGTGCCATGCGAACGAAAGCCTGTTCTCACTTTCAGGTGACATTATAAATAAGAAGCAGGCAGCAGTATTTCCCGTAAATGTAAACAAACTTATTTGTCTTAGTGATTGGTTGAACAAGAAGTAGGACTGAGTGGACTTGTAGTCTCTAAAGTTTTACATTGTTTTGGTTTTGAGTGCCGCTATGTAACAAAAGAAATCTACAATTGTCAGTTACACTTTCACATTAAAGAGATTGTACTACAGTACTTGTATGAGGTGAATTGAAAAACTACTATTTCTTTATCATTTTTTACAGTGCAAATGTTTGTAATAAAAATAATATAAAGTGAGCACTGTACACTTTGTATTCTGTGTTGCAATAGAAATCAATGTATTTGAAAATGTAGAAAAACATCCAAAATATTTAATAAATTTCAATTGGTATGATATTGTTTAACAGTGCGATTAATCGTGATTAATTTTTTTAATAGCAGTTAATTTTTTTGCGTTAATCACATGAGTTAACTGCGATTATTCGACAGCCTTACTTCTAACCTCAGTATGTCTTCCAAGTTCTTAGGCCCGTGTCAGCTTGAGCCTGGATCTTTTTCCACTTGATTCAGTTACAAGTGTTTGCTAACACTGCTGTTTAAACGAATAAAATACATGCCCGAGGACACTGCTTCTCTGTGCTAGGTGTGGATCACTATGTCCAGTACACTCTTTAAAACAGTCAGCTCCTTTAGTTAATGTAGAAAAGTTATCTACATGACAGTAAAACCTACAGGTCCAAATAGATCCAGGCCCTGTTGTGCTAGGTGCATCACTTGGACAAAAGTGAGTCTGCCCCAGAGAGCTTATATGTTAAATCAATAATGAATGAGAGGGGAAGGGACTTGCCCAAGAGCACACAGTGGATCAGTGCCAGAGCTGGCAATAGAATCTAGAGGCTTGTTGTCTACACCACGCAGCTTTTAGCAACAAGGCTGGGTCGACACAGCCTTGTCGCTAAAAGTCAGCGTATGTAAAGGCTCTTTTTCAGTACTTTATCGGCACTTTTGCTAACAAGCTACTTCCAGCCCCGTGAGCTGCGTTACCTTTGTCGGCGGGAGAGCACTCCTGCCGACAAAGCTGCGTTCACACTGCCACTTGCGTTGCCAAAACTTTTGTCTTTCGCGGGGGTGCTTTTTTAAGTAACCGTGAAAGACAAAAGTTTTGTCGACAACTTTGCAGTGTAGGCAAGCCCTCAATCTCTTGATTCCCAGTATGCTGTCTTATTCTCTAGACCACCCATCCTTCCCTGTTCTTGCTCTTGTGGAGGCTTGCACTATGCCTCAATTTTCCCCATCTGTGGAATGGGAAGAAATGCAAAGCACAGTCTACACTGGTAAAGTACAGCAAAATACCGTTTCCCTAGAAGTCTCTGTGCAGTTTAATTTGGAGACCGTACACTCCACTGCTTGTCCCCATCTTGTTTTGGCATTGCCGTTAGTTGCTGACAAGGTGGCTGCATTTCCAGAATGAGTGATCCCTGAGAAAGCAATGTAATCTTTAAAGTCGTATGGGTTCGTTTGGGATGGAAAGCACTGGAAAACTATCACACTGAACTTTTAATTCGCACACACACACACACACACTTGACCCCCTGTCCAGTATCTGCTCACCCCAGAGGAGAAGTATGAAGCTACGTTTAACCTTCCTCAACTATTTCATCAAGTTCCACCTCCCCCATGCCAACATGTTTTTTGGTGGTTACTAGTAGCCTGTTTGCCAGGTGCTGGGCTGAGGGGCCAGGAAGGAGGGGTGGAGAATTTGTGGAGATTAGGACCACAGAGTCCTTCTCCTGGTTGTCAGCAATCAATCCTGAAGCACTTGCATGAGAGGAAAGTGATCAGGAACAGCCAGCATGGATTCACCAAGGGAAGGTCATGCCTGACTAATCTAATCGCCTTTTATGATGAGATTACTGGTTCTGTGGATGAAGGGAAAGCAGTGGATGTATTGTTTCTTGACTTTAGCAAAGCTTTTGACACGGTCTCCCACAGTATTCTTGTCAGCAAGTTAAGGAAGTATGGGCTGGATGAATGCACTACAAGGTGGGTAGAAAGCTGGCTAGATTGTCGGGCTCAACGGGTAGTGATCAATGGCTCCATATCTAGTTGGCAGCCGGTATCAAGTGGAGTACCCCAAGGGTCGGTCCTGGGGCCGGTTTTGTTCAATATCTTCATAAATGATCTGGAGGATGGTGTGGATTGCACTCTCAGCAAATTTGCGGATGATACTAAACTGGGAGGAGTGGTAGATACGCTGGAGGGGAGGGATAGGATACAGAAAGACCTAGACAAATTGGAGGATTGGGCCAAAAGAAATCTGATGAGGTTCAATAAGGATAAGTGCAGGGTCCTGCACTTAGGACGGAAGAACCCAATGCACAGCTACAGACTAGGGACCGAATGGCTAGGCAGCAGTTCTGCGGAAAAGGACCTAGGGGTGACAGTGGACGAGAAGCTGGATATGAGTCAGCAGTGTGCCCTTGTTGCCAAGAAGGCCAATGGCATTTTGGGATGTATAAGTAGGGGCATAGCGAGCAGATCGAGGGACATGATCGTTCCCCTCTATTCGACACCGGTGAGGCCTCATCTGGAGTACTGTGTCCAGTTTTGGGCCCCACACTTCAAGAAGGATGTGGATAAATTGGAGAGAGTCCAGCGAAGGGCAACAAAAATGATTAGGGGTCTGGAACACATGAGTTATGAGGAGAGGCTGAGGGAGCTGGGATTGTTTAGCCTGCAGAAGAGAAGAATGAGGGGGGATTTGATAGCTGCTTTCAACTACCTGAAAGGGGGTTCCAAAGAGGATGGCTCTAGACTGTTTTCAATGGTAGCAGATGACAGAACGAGGAGTAATGGTCTCAAGTTGCAGTGGGGGAGGTTTAGATTGGATATTAGGAAAAACTTTTTCACTAAGAGGGTGGTGAAACACTGGAATGCGTTACCTAGGGAGGTGGTAGAATCTCCTTCCTTAGAGGTTTTTAAGGTCAGGCTTGACAAAGCCCTGGCTGGGATGATTTAACTGGGAATTGGTCCTGCTTTGAGCAGGGGGTTGGACTAGATGACCTTCTGGGGTCCCTTCCAACCCTGATATTCTATGATTCTATGATTCAATGAGCAGAACTGAGAGCAGACCCTGAGTCAGGGGCAGGCACTTGGGGTTGGCTCCGCTTCAAGAGAGATGGAAAGAATTTTAGGGGGGGTGTTAAGGAAACCCGCATATCCTGTGCATCTGGGGGAGCCAGGCAGGTTATGCACGCAGGTTACCCTAGCTGGCTTCTCTCTGCAGCGTTAAGCCAAAAACACAGAGAAGGAAGGGAGGGAGGGGCAGGCTTGGGTGGATCAGTGGCGTCGGACGGGCTCTGTGGGCTGGGAGCAGAGAGGTAGGCGCTGGGGAGCCAGGAGCAGGGAGTAGAGGTGGCACCTGGGTGCTCAGAAATGCGGGTTAGGGAACCAGGATCCGGGATGGAAGGGGGCTCAGCGTTCGTGAGTGTCTCGGCGCAGAGATCTAAGGGGACGGGAAGCTCAGGCGTGGCCACAGACGGCGAGGGGGCTGTGTCCATTTTCCCTCGTCCCCTGCTCCGTTTTCTCTGCCGTAGTGTTTTGAGAGCTACGTACGTACTCGTTAGCAAAGAGGCCCCTGTAGGGTCGGTTCACCGCTGCCCACCGGGCGGTATTCCCCGTCCCCGGGCTCCCCCTGCCTCCGGAGAGCGAGTTCTGGCCGCCGGCCTGCCGGGAGGCTCTCGCAATGCGGAGAAGGAACTGCGGGGAGGCGGGGGAGAGCGTGACCGGCGCCGCGCTGGTGCAGCCAAACAAACTCTCAGCTGCCCCCGCCGCCCTTCCTCCGCCAAAGCGACCTTTGCCGAGCGCGCGGTGGGGTGCCCCTGGGAGAGGGGGGGCGGCGGCGGGGCGGCGCTGGGCGCTGGCCGCACCAAAATGTCCCTTCTTTCCTCTTCTCCTTCCCCGCCAGGCTCTTGCATTTGCAAGACGCGGTTTGTGTGCGGGCAGGGGCACGAGGGAGGAGCCTGCAAGGGAGGAGTCGCGCAGGGGGGGACTCACGATCTCCCTGGGTAGGAGCGCCTTGGCTGGCTGAGCGTAAAGGGATCAGGACCTTGGCGGCGATTCCCGAGAGGTAGGCTGCTTTCCTTCAGCTTACATGAGTTGCCTTCGCTGGGCGTGCGGCGCCCGACGGGCTTTACAAACCGCTGGACTGCGGGCGTGAAGGGCTGGGCGGGGGTTTCCTTTTAGCCGAGTTTCAGAGCAGCTGCCGTGTGTCTGTTTCCGCAAAAGGAACAGGGGGACTTGGGGCACCTTAGAGGCGAACATATTTACCTGAGCATCAGCTTTTTTCCCGAAAGCTTACGCTCTGATAAATGTGTTCGTCTCTAAGGTGCCCCAAGTCCTCCTGTTCCTTTGAGCCATTTTCAGTTTTAGCAGACACGGCCTCTTACACAATCCTAGTGCCTGTTTCGCAGCTTTCCCAGCACGGGAGGGTTTACAGAGCAAAATCCTTTCGTTTTATTTTTCTCTCCCTCTTAATATTTCCTTCTTTAACCCGTAAGGAGGGGGACCGGGACTTGTACTCTCCCCTAATTATTGATTTGATTGCCAAAAACTGGGGCATGCTGCCAAGCTATTAACCCTGCTCTTAATTAACAGTAAAATCTTCCATGGTTTGGGGAGAGAGATCTGAATTTTTGCTGGAAGTCCAAAGTTTCTCTGCTAGTCTTTACCCTGCTTCTTATTGTGAGAGTTGAGATTTTCACTAGTCCCAAAAGGCCTGCCCCGGGCCCCATCAGGGCAAAGTTAAGAAAGAGATGGGAGGAAATTGGTACTTACATGGAGCTTTCTATTTTACAATTAACTTATTAATGCTGACAGCACCTGTGTGAGGTAGGTGAATTTATTTCCTTGCTTGTAAAGTGGGATGAAGGAGGTAGAGAGGATAAGGCCTACGTCCCCATAGGTATTTTGGTGCTTAACTCCCACTGATTTGAGGGTCTGGATATATGGTCCCCATAGGTATTTAGGTGCTTAACTCCCACTGATTTGAGGGTCTGGATGTATGTGATTTGCCCAAGGCTAGGCAGAGAGACTGTAACAGAGTCAGTAATGCACAGTCTGGCCTGTCCTCTAATTACTAGACCATCTCTCTTTAGAGGCTGTCTCATTCAGAGACTGATCCCAATAGAGAGACATGGAGCTTTCATCCACTTCTTTGTTCCGGGATGTTGTTCTTAAATCCAGTCCCATCTATACATAATTGCCACTGTGCAATATATGTTCCTTGCAGCAGGATGTGCTTTGAGACCGTAATGTGGCTCCAAGTGGGCTTGGTGTCTGGCAGCAATGCGCCTGGCTGAACTAGTCAAATGAGCCTAAAGGAGTTGGGTGCTGAAATCAATGGGATTTGGGAACCTAATTCCCCTTGGCTCCTTTGAAAAACCCCAGAAGATGTTCTCTTCTCCAAACTGAGGACACTGTCTCTTCCATTCTTCTAGCTTTGTGTGCCAAAGTTAGTTGCCAATAATCTGCTCCAGGCCTTTGGAATGTTTTGGTGTCAGTCAGATAAGAAATGTAAAAGGAAAGAATTCTTGAGCAGTACTGTTGTCTGGGCTGCATGGTGGTGAGACAGGCTTAGCTAATGGTGCTGCATCCCTCTTTCAGTCTGAATTGGTGAAGTCTCAGCCAAACCCTCCAGCATTATGGCAGGAGCAGGACTGATGAGGCCTTTGCCTTGTGGGCACTGAAAATGGCCAGTCATCTCTTTTATGGTGCTTATGTCCTGATTCAATCACCAGTTATTCAGCTAAGTACACTATGCTATCAAGCAGGACATTTTATATTCCGCCCTGCTGTGGGTTTGTTTTGTGTCTGTTCCAAGTCTCCCCACAGTCGCTGACTGAAGACCCACCATCAGCCAGTGTTACCAGGGTCTGGATGGCGACTCCATCATTTCTGTATTTGCTGTTGAGCAGTTCAAGAGGCTCCCGCCTCTCAAGGCCCAAGTGTGAATCCCACATTCTTCTCTATGTTGGTGTTTCTAATAAGCCACCAGGGTGGTATCAGAGTACCAATGAAAACAGTTGACATTTGAACCCAACTACATTAAATATTAAAAGGATTGAGACCCTATGAGCTGGATTGTTCTTGCCATAAAGGGGAAGGATGAGAGGACAGATTGTCTTGTAGATAGGTGTCAGGAGATATGGGTTCAATTCCCAGATCAGCCACAGATTCCCTGTCACTTTACAGCTAAAGAAAAATTAAATGGGGATAATTTTGCCCTTTATCTGTCTTGCTTATTTAGATTGTAAGCTCTCTTAGGAAGGGACTGCCTCTTGCTGTGTGTCTGGACAGTGCCCGGCCCCATGGGGCTCCAATCTTAGTTGATGTTACAAATAATAACTCTAAAGGATAGAGCATGTAAATTGTAAAAGTTTTTAGGCTGTTGTATGAATTCTCAGGGAGGATCTGAGGTTGTTCTGCTTAACTTGTTTGACTCAGCTGGAGGCTCTCAAGGTTCATTTGTTTAACAAAGTTCTCTTGTACTGGGGAAGTGGGTTCAGTCATTAGTCCCCACACCTTCCTAGCTCTTGGGGACTTCCAGCTTGGGTTAAAAATTCACCTTTTCAATACTGAATCTGAGGACTGGAAAATTACTGCTCACCCCCAAAAGGAAAGGAGTAATTTTGGGAGTGCCCAGATGAAATAAATGAGTGATGATAAATCAGCAGATAAGAAATATTTAGTAGCTGTGGCAATTAAAAAAAAGATTAAATCTTACTGATAATCTGTCTGATGTTAATATATAAAGCCCTTAATAACCTAGATCCAATGTAAATGAGTGAATGCCTCTTTCTGTTTAACGTATGTTGTCTAAATTTCTTTCTAGTCTATTTAGTGTAAGGGGCAGGGAATACCTCTTGCTATGTGTTTATATGGTTGGGGCATTGGGGCACTATTGTAATAAAAATACAACAGTAGAAAGCAACAATCAACCCCCACCATAAAATTAATACAAGCCAAGTAGTCTTCTTTCTAACTATCAGCTGAATGTAAATGCTTTCCAAGGCACCAGAGGGGAGATTGGTGCTCTGATTTTTGGAGTCACTTCCAATCAAACATACTTTGTGTGAATAAATCTCACCTGGGCTTGGAGGAGTTCAGTTCAGCTGAGAACATATTTAGGTGCACCTATGTCCATTGATTGGTTCCTCCTGATAAACACTTGCAAATTTTGATCCTGAGTTATGCCAACCTCCCCCGGGGCAAGGTGTGTCAGTCTATTTCAGAGAGCAGAGATGTTCTTGTGGAGACTCATGAGTTATCCCTCTTCCTTCAGGCATGGTATTACTTGAAGGACCTGTTCTAAGGTTAATGCAAATGCTTCAGAAGTCTGAGGGGGGAGGTGGTATGGTTTGTGTGGAATCAGGACACCTGGGATCAATTCCCACCTCTTCCTCTGTTGTAATTTATTTGTATTGTGGTAGCTTCTAAGAGCCCCAGTCGTGAACCAGGACTCCACTGTGCTAGGTACTGTGCAAACACAGAACAAAAAGATGGTCCCTGCCCCTGGGAGCTTGCGATCTAACTATAAGATAAGAAACAACAGCTGGATACAGACAGATGCAGGAAACAAGGAGACAATAATACACTTGGTCAGCAAGATAGGTAGTGGTCCGAGCACATCACCTGCTTTGTGTTGTCAAGTTATCTGACTTGGTGTGTCACCTTGGGCAAGACCCTTTCCCTCTCTGTGCCTGTTTTCCTTATTTCAACTGTATAGTCTGCAGCAGGGACAGTTTTTTTACTATGAGTGTCTAACACAGTAGGGCCCAGATGTCAGTTGGAACCCTAGGTGCTACCATAATACAAACAGCGTATAATCAGAGAGGCCCCTCTGTGCAGCTGTTTAACTGCATTAAGAGGAATAGTGTGGTTTAAAAATGGCTGACAGCAGCTGGGTCCATAATGTGACTTTTATACCTTATGTTAAGGAAGAAGGTTTGAACACTGTAACAGAGCTAGTCTAGATCATGGCTCTGTTGAACGTGGCTTAGCTGTAATGTGGTCAGGCCTAACAAGAACATAGAATTGAGTTAATACGTCTTCCCAGGCAGTTCCTCAATGCACAACATGACGTCAAGAATAGAAGTGCTTGCAGAATCCTGCCTCCTTATTGTTTAGGTTGCACCAGTGCCTAGAGACTTCAACTAATGTCAGGGCCCCATTGAGCTGGGTGTAGGGTTGCCAACCCTCCAGGATTGTCCTGGATTCTCCAAGAACTAGAGATTAATCTTTAGAGTTTGTCATGTGATGAAACCTCCAGGAATACATCCAACCAAAATTGGCAACCCTAGCTGGGTGCTCTAAATATACATACTGAGAGACAGTCCCTGCCCCAAAAAGCGTACCAGTCTAAACCAGGGATCGGCAACCGTTGGCACGTGGCCTACCAGGGAAAGCTGCTGGCAGGCAGGGATGGTTTCTTTACCTGCAGCGTCTGCTGGTTTGGCCGATCGCAGCTCCCACTGGCCACAGTTCGCCGTCCCAGACCAATGGGGGCTGTGGGAAGTGGCGTGGGCCAAGGGATGTGCTGGCCGCCCTTCCTGCAGCCCCCTTTGGCCTGGGATGGGGGATCGTGGCCAGTGGGAGCCGTGATCGGCCGAACCTGCAGGTAAACAAACGCTCCCAGCCCGCCAGCGGCTTTCCCTGGCGGGCCATATGCCAAAGGCCGCCGATCCCTGGTCTAAACAGATGACAGCTAGGAGAAAGGAAGTGGCTAATTGTGTGATAGAAATACACCGCAGCCTGGAAGTGTTGGGTTCTGGAGAGACTTCCAAGAGTTCAGATCCATGCTCTTGGTCTGAGCCCACAGGAGGTTGCCAGCTGTGTGGTTGTGGTTCCTGTTTGTTCCCTCGAATCTTCTTGATTCACATTCTTTTCACAACCAGTAACCAGAAAAGGAGTGAGTTGTGGGTGTGGGAATTGCTGTTTATTTGGGTGGCTGGTGAATGCTGCAGGTCTGGTATTTTATCATGTAATTAGTTCTGCAGCTGCAGGACTTGGTGGTGTTGGGCAGCATAACAGTCAATTATTTTATCCCCTGGGGGGGCAGGTTTCTTGCAGGCTAGTTCTATGAAAAACTCTATCACATTAATTGGAATCA